GAATGGATATGCGGAAGCAGCTGGAAAGTGGGATTAGTAACGATGCAAGGTTGTAGTGGTACAGAGATGATGGGCCAAATGGCTGCTTCACCTGATGATGCACTTTCCGGTCATTTGGTGGTGTGAGATCTCCAAACCGAGTCAAACTCCCATGTCATAGCTTCACCAAGTCCACAGGAGGGCGCCATTGCACCACTCACAGCTTCTGCAAACCAAAGTGAATCTCTCTGTAAGATGCAGCTTACAGTATTATAATAATAATAATAATAATAATAATAATAATAATAATCCTTGCATTTGATATAGCGCTTTTTACGTCGGGAGGACGTCCCAAAGCACTTCACAGAATAGACTGTAAAGTGAATTGACTGTATATTTGTGGGCGAACGCGGCAGCCAATTGCGCACAGCAATGTCCCACAAACAGTCATGGATTGAAAATGACCAATTTATTATTGTTTTTTTTTGGTTTTGGAGGGATTATTATTAGGCTCTGTGTGGAGTAAGGAAACTTGCCCAAGGTTTGGCCCTGACCTGCCTGGATTTGAACTCAGGTCTCTCACTTGCAAAGCGAGTGCTCTAACCACTGAGCCACAGGACTCCAGAGATAAAAGTTTTTGAACCACACACAGTGCAACCCATTAAAAAATAACACAAGAGTTTTGCTGGAGCTTCACCAATGAACAGCTGAAGGCAAGGGAGGGGGAATGCTAGCACTCTAGGGAGCCTTTATTTCAACTCAAATACACCAATTACTACACAAGATTCAAACTGTAAGTGATGACATACCATGAAATCGACCACAGCCTAAAGGAAATAGGAAAGTACAGGCGTGGAATAATATCATTTGACCAAAGTGACCTATTTTAAAAAATAAGTAATCTTACATCCATATAAGTTCTAGTGGAGTCCTATAGCTTAGTGATTAGAGCATTCACCTCGTAAGCGAGAGGACCGCGGTTTGATTCCCGGGCAGGGCCAAACATTGGGTAAGTTTTCTTACTCCACACTCCTCTGTTTGCTTAGCAGTAAGGAGGAGTCCGGTTCTTAGTCGATTGTTGGATCGCTTTCCAGGAATAATATTTGTTCAAAAAACAAATGTGGTCACTCAATCAACGATTATTTGTGGGACACTGCTGTGCGCGATTGACTTCCGGGTATCATCCACAAAAACATACGGTTTTCGTGGTGTGTCATCACTTTACAATCTATCCTGTGAAGCGCTTTGATACATCTCAAATCACTTGATGATGTGCTATATCAAATGCAAGGATTATTATTTTTTATAAAACCTGTTACTTTGCTAAAGACCAAAAGAAAGCAATGGCTGACTGAGCTGCCCAGCCCTGGTTTCACACCTTCCACAAGCGTGACATCGATACCGCTAACAAAGCAAATCCCCAGTTAGGCAAATTCCTGTGCATTGACAGGAATTTACTCCGATCAGCAGCTTTCTGCTTTGTCTTTTGACCACTACTTTGTCGGCCTGATGACACATTCTCTCTAATATAGTCTGAGTATTTGTGCTGAAATCTGCATGATCTCTTGTGACTGCGCTGTGATTGGTTATCTTGTGGCTATTTAGCTCTCAAAGACAAATGCGCTAAAGCAGCACAATATAATCACTGGGATTTAATGTTATTGTGCCCACGTTAGCAGTCAGAACCAACAGCAGAAGAGAAGGGGACGCAACTTAATCCCTGTGGTCACTGACGGCATTTCTGGATGTTGATTTCTCGGTCAGACTGTATGACCCTGATCTATAGTACATTGTCAACAAAGTGTTCATTCTCTGGACAGAGCACCCAAGCACCAGTAACTGACAGGTCCTGGATGCTGCTGCCTGGTGGGGAGTGGAAAAAATTGCCAAAAAAACACAGTGTCTTAGTTTGAGGATCTAGTCTGGCTCTGACAGTATATTAATTATACTCATAGAATCTGTTGGTTGAATAGTGGATCACAGTATTGAATATTTTAAGTTTACGAAAGCTACCTCAAAGGATTTAACTTTCAACAGGCACAGAGTAGTTTTTGAAGCAGAACAAAGCCTACAGTGAATTTATTGCCCAGATGCATTCTTTTCTACTGCAAACATTTCCGGGACCATTACAGGAAAGAGATACAATGGGTGGTTTCCTGTTTCCTGATTGGGACAATGGGAACCGCTCTTCCTGGTTGCGTTCTGTCAGCCTACATTCTGGGCTGATGGGTGCAATTTCTGTGGAGTGTTGAAGGATCTTCAGCAAGGTTGAGAAGTGTAAACCCCCAAACGACTAAAGTATAAGCATCAGGCTGACCTACACAGACCTTTACTTGCTGTGTCTTTTTTTCAAGCCACTGAGTCCTCCCAATGCTGCGTGTGGTCTCCTATTCCACAAAGTTATCAGTACCTCAGTGCAGTGGCAATAAAAACATTTGCATGGATACAGGCCAATTAAGAGACCATAAATGTGTTCCCTACACAAGTGGCACAGACAGTGAATTGTGTCAATTGGGTTCAATTGGGCCCACAAAAAACACAAAGTCAATCCACTTTACACTCTGAAGCACTTTGAGACGTCTCAACGACGTGATAAGGCATTATATCAAATATTATTTGGATATTATTTATTATTGAACGATAGATACATAGTGTCCGATATGATGCACAATATCCATAGCAAATCAAATATATATAGAATTGACTGAAATTTAATCTAGGAAATGAGACAAAATGCAAAATTTTCAATAATAGTTTCCTACAGTGGGTGTGGGGGAGGGGGGAGCTGGGTGGAGAAAAAGAATAAGAGAAATCAAGAACAGCTATCTGCGTGATCAAGCTATCTTACTGGACCGGCCGGTGAAAGGAGCGCTGACTCACAGCTATGAAACACAAATGAGAGACCACAAATCTGTTCCCTACACAAATAGCACAGACAGTTTGTTAGCACGTGTGGGCAAGACCTGATAACAAATGAGTAAAGCAATGATTGATGATTTCCCCCCCCATTCTCTTCTGGTGGTGAGAACACTCATTCATGTTCTGTTCACTGGTACCAGGAATACTCTGGTACCTCATTCAAATGGTCATGTAAGGAGTAATGCCAGCATTACTGGATTGAATTAATTTATAACAATAATAATCCTTGCATTTGATATAGTGCCTTATTACATCATTGAGAATTCTCAAAGCATTTCACAGGATGTACTGTAATAATAATAATAATAATCCTTGCATTTGATATAGCGCTTTTCACGTCGGGAGGACGTCCCAAAGCGCTTCACAGAATAGACTGTAAAGTGAATTGACTGTACATTTGTGGACGAACGCGGCAGCCAATTGCGCACAGCAATGTCCCACATACAGTCATGGATTGAAAATGACCAATTTATTATTGTTTTTGGTTTTGGAGGGATTATTATTAGGCTCTGTGTGGAGTAAGGAAACTTGCCCAAGGTTTCGCCCTCTGCCTGGAATTGAACTCAGGTCTCTCACTTGCAAAGCGAGTGCTCTAACCACTGAGCTACAGGACTCCACAAAGTAAAGCGAATTGAATTGTTGTTGTTGTTGTTGTTGTTGAATTGACTGTTACGGTGTATATATATATATGTATGAGATGAATTTGGGTTTGATCTGGTGTTATTTTAAATGACTGAACTGACGGCGATGCAGATCCCCTCCCCCCACCACCGCCCCTTTCTTCTCTCGACCAACACAGCAATGCCCCCCCCCCCCCGCGCCCCCTCCTATTTGCAGAGCTCGCGCGGAAATAAATCAGTTTCCATTGAGTTCCTACAGTTCAGCTTCTGGGTGTGTTAGTAAAAAAAAGTGGGGTTTTTTTGAAAAAAAGAGGCAAGAAAACCGCAAAACAGTCATATCAGGAGCACTTGGTGGTTCATGAACTTCCTGCCACACAGTCACTACTGTAACCGAGAGAGAGAGAGAGAGAGTGGTGGCCTGGGGGCCGCGTCTGCGCCTGCGCAAGGGCGGCGGGGCCGGGGGGGCGGGGCCATGTGGGCAGGTTGGGCGGGTTCACGCCCAATCGGGCGGGTCCGCTTGAAAACAAACGGCTTTTGGGCGGGTTTGCGCCCTCACTGGGGGCACCATTTTTAAAATCTTTTTTTTGGGGGGGTTTCCCAAACAAAATGATCTATTCCCAAAAAGAATTCCATGTTCGCCCCCTCCTCTTTCTCACGCAGTTTCGAGAAAAAAAATCTATGCACTTAAAACTCTTAAAACGGACTCCCCCCCCCCCCCCCCGCCCCGCCCCCCCCCCCCCCCCCCGCCGCTGCCACACAGAGGGGAGGCGAGGGTTTTGGGCTACTTTTTGGGCTCGTGTCTGGTGGACTTTGGGCTACAAACGTCGTCTCACTCGCGGCCAAAAGCCCTGGGCGGCGGCGGCGGCTGCCATTGGCCGCTCGGGTTTGGTTGCTCGGCTCCGCGGCCTCTTGTTGTTGGCAGTCGCAGCCCCGAGCTCGAGTGTGACCCCCGAGCCCCGAGACACACACACACACACACACAGACTAAACAAACACAGTCCCTGAGGGAGGAGGAGGAGGAGGAAAAGGCTCCCGAGTTTTCACTGGAACCAGCGGCCGGAGTCGGGAGTCGGGCTCGAGCCGCCGCCCCCCCCGCCCGCCCGCGCGGGGCCTTTGTCCGCCCCCACCCCGGGCCCCCGCGGCCGCCGCCACCACCGCCACCGCCACCACCTCAGCCATCGCCAAACAAGATGTCTGCCCGATCGGCCGGCGGGAAGGTGAGGAGCCGGGGCTCCCGGGGCTGAGGGGGGGAGGGAGAGAGGGAAGGAGCCGCCGCCGCCTTCTGTTCCCCGGTTACTGATGAGTCGGGACCCGGTGTAGGAGGAGAGAGCGGTTGAGCGACAGCGACGGCGACGGCTCTGAGGGGGTGAGAGTGAAGTTCGCTGGTGGTGGTGGTGTTTGAGCTTAACTCTCCCCTCCCGGTTGGGTTGGGTTGGGGGGGGGTCGGGGTGCGGCTGCTCCGGGTGGGGGTGGGGGGGGGTGTGGAGTTGGGGGGGTTTTGGGGCGGCGGTTGGGCTCAGGGAGTCGTCGTAATTACAGTTGTTGTTGTTGTGGCTGTTTTTGAGCTGAAATGAGTTGGGAGCTCTGAGCTCTGGGGTTGGAGCCGAACTTCCTCCCGACTTTGCGCGGACGTGAACCAAGTTGTGGTGAGTCGTTTGACTTGTGAAGTGGGGTCTCGATGACCCAGTGACAAAGAGGGGAGGGGGGGGTTGCCCGCAGGTCCTGGGGGTGGGGGACTGGGGGTGGAGGTGGTGGTGGCACTGAGACAGTCAGGGTCGAGGCAGTCGGTGCCACAGGGACTCTCACAACTTCTCAGTGTGTTGTGTGTGTGCGCTCTCTCTCTCTCTCTCTCTGTCTCTCTCTCTCTCTCTCCTCCACCACAGGAGACTTCGGGAAAAAAAGAAAGTAAGAAAGAAAGAGGGGCGAACATCCTGCGGGTTTAATTGAATTCTTTTTGTGAATAGATAATTTTTTTTTTGGGGGGGGGGGGGGAGGAGGGCGGAAATCACAGGGACTTCGTAGTTTGAACCCCTTCCTTCTCGTGTTGAATGAGGCAGAGGTGAGCGAATTTCAGCGACGGTGCGGGTACTGTACTGTACTGTACTGTCCAGACTTGTGGTTTGTGTTTGTTTTACGAGGAAACTTCTGACCGTTGTACCCTCTCTCCCCCCTCTCCCCTCCCCCCCCCCACCCCACCCTCCCCCACACACACACTGTGACTGTACCGAGAGTGAGATTAGATCTGGTTTCGGTCCCCCGATGATCCGATGATGTAACTTTATCTGAAAGGCGCACACGGGCCGAGATTTCTGCTTCGGATTCCCACTCGTGTGTTGCGCCACGAGAGAAGTAATCCGATCTCATACCAGGCATTCCTTCAACGTGGTAGTCCACAGATTATTTTTTGTCGTATAAAGCGTTATAGCTCTGTGCGAAGCAAAGTGTACATACATTGATCTGGAGGGGGGACGACGACAACAACAGCAACAGCAGGAAAATCTTTCTTTACGTCGCTGTTGTTGTTGTTGTTATTGTTGTCCTTTCCAGTTTTTGCTGAACGCAATTTGGCAACTTTCAGCAGGAAAAGTCACTCAGACCTTTTTGTGTTGATCGTCGTGTGGCGGAATGGGGGGCGAACCAGGATCTCAGCAGATCAGACACACGGAGGAGACGTGTTTCGGGGCGACTCACTCTGTGCTGATGGAGACCTGTGTTACAAACCGCGGAACTCGCACCTTTTGAGTCCTTTTGAGTCGGTTTAATAAGTTACGATCAGACAAACGCCATCAGTTCTATCCCATGTCCTTTTATCTCATTCTTTATTTAAAATACATTTTAAATGTTTCTCTAATAACGAAGCCACCGGATCGTTGGTTCCCACACTACCAATGTGGGGAACCTCGGACACACAGTCACCGAATGCGTTAGCAATGTGTTAGTTAGTGTGGAAATCGAACAGTTTAAGATTTTTTTTGAGAAAAAATGCTTTTTTTTGCACCAGAATTCAACAGGTGGAAAACTGAGTAACGTTTATTAGCGTTTAGGTTTTCCATCATCTTCTTAATTCCAAAGTATTGAGAATCAAGTTCTTTGTATTTTTTTTTGCAATGGACATCAATGTTAGTGATGCACTTTTGCTTTTTGTAAACATTGTTGATGATGTCAAACTTCATTAACTTGAAACAAGCCTTAGCTTTGAACTCTGGCCTTCAGAAGCAGAGGGACAGTAGCTGTTATATGCTCTGGTTTTAATTTATGGCAAGAGAACGGAATTGTTCCTCTGTCCATTGAGCAAACTTAGCAGTATGTTCAATTTGGCTCTTTCTGTGTTGGGTTCATTCGTACCGCTCTTGTACAACTTACACATTTAAATATTTATCATTCATTCAATTGTTTTTGGTAACTATTTTTCAAAGATTTTTGAACATTGAGCAAATAGATACTTTTTTTAACATATATATGGACTTTATACAAACATGAATCTCTCCTTTTTAATATTCCATGGCTTCAAAAGGTGTTGGGGTACCTCTGTCAATGTACAACCCCTCCACTTTGGCAGAGGGGCTGTAGAGGGAAAGTGGATGAGTGTAGGTAAAGGATAAAGGGGCTGATGGAGGGCCAGTTTTGGATTGACTTCACAAGTGATCGGGTTAATTGGGATTTATCGGAATATTTGGTCAGTGAATCCAGAGAAGTAAATTTGACCATTTAATGTTTAAGGATTATTGGCAAAGGTCAGCATGTTATCCCACATGAGGACCAGATATATTCAGACTGAGCTGGTTCAAATAAGTTTGTCCTTTTTTGAAGAAAATGTTGGTTGAGGTGAGGGATATATTTGCTGACTTTGATGGGTGACTCGAGCAGTCACATGTCTCCTATTCTTCCTCACTTGACATCTCCCACAGACTTGTAAATTTTCTCCATTGCTGAAGCTTCTGTCATGTTCACATTTTTGCAGAGCTGAATTAGCAGCTTGTGTTGTGGGAGATGCTAAAGGTAGCTGGGTCTTTGCCATACGTGTGGGAATTTGCCATTCTTCCTGAATTTATTCATTTGAATTTTCAAAAATAATTTAAGCAGCCAAATTGTGCTAACTTTGTTCTTCAATGGCAAATGGAATGAGCAGTCAATATAAGCATAAACCAGTGTGATTTGTAGTAACGCAATATCCATCTGAGAGGAAGCTGTGGTTTACCACTCGACCCTGAAGTACCCATTTGTGGAAGAAATAGCCAGATTTTGCATTTAATGTTGTGACTCATCCTGTTGGTGTATAAGACATGTTTCATGATTTCAGCTTCATTGTCATGTTAGCTTCCTGTACAATGAAGGTGCAATCACTCACATTTAACACAATACATTTCAGAGGAGATGGAAGTTGATTATATCTATGTAGGGAGCTGATCTGCAGCTGCACAACACTTCTACCTTCCTTTGCCGCAGAGGAACATTTGAACATGGGTGATCGTTTTTTTAAAGAAAATTAATGATACAATTCCTCAAGCAAGAAATCGCTGTATGCAAAGTTATTTGGAATATTTGGTGCACTGAAAGATGCGAGTGCTGTAGCTTTTTACAATCGTATTTGTTGTGCGTGACATTTTATGTGTCATAGCCACAAGGACAAAGGACAATGGTGATTTGTACTGTGCAAATTTGAAGAATACTTTGTACCCAAAATTCTTGTGCTTTACTGCATAAAGCCTTTACTGTATAGCAAAGGTCTTTTCAATCTTAGTACCCACCGCTATTATTTGGTAAAGATTTTTTTTTGGTGGCCGTGAGTCTGAAGTGCACGGGAACCCATCACAATACTTAGAGTATTCAGACCAAACTACTGAGTGTTCCATATGTATATGGAAATGTCCTTTTGTCTACAATGGAGTACTTACTTTCTCACCAGAGGGAAGCACAGTACTCACTGAATTCCAGAAAGTATTCGGCACAAAGCGTGGGAATCCCACAACCAGCTAAAACACTGTCTGTCTGGTAAGCCTCCTGCTACTTGTCTGGCAAGAACTACCTTATCTCTTAGGGCTTTGGTTTGCAAGTTAACAGGAGCCGAGTGGGTAGAGTCCCAGACCCCACTGACTGATCTACTCCTCCATGTCCTGCTGAAAAACCAGGCTATCTAGTTTGTTATCAACAGTGCCTTGGAGTACTATCTTCTGCCTGGTTGAGGAATTGGATTTACTTACACCCTCACAGAGAATTGCCTCAATTCCAATATTTCTTAAATTACACAAGCCACTCCACTTTACAGTAGATCCTGTGAAGCACTTTAAGATATTTTGCTGAAAGGTGCTATATTACATACGTAGATTATTCTTATTGCCTGCTACTCCAACGTGTCTCTTTGGGACCAGCTTTCATCATCTCTATTCCCCCCCCCCATCCCCACCCCTCCCCGGATAGCTAACCATTCTCTTCTGTTAGTTTCGTATCTGATAAGAAAAGAAACATGTGGGGAGATATCGCTCTTGTGTGCTGATCACCAGGCATTTCGGGCAACAATGTCGCACAGTTCACATAGGAAAGTGTATCAGTGCTTTACAGGGACAATGTAAAAACAATACGAAAAGGGGAAATGGGAGGAAGGAGGCTGATTTTTATGAGGGTTTTGAAAATGTGGAAGGGTTTGGGGGGGAAGGCAGTTACGCAGATTACATTAAACAATTGAACTTGTGCAATGCAGTATCTTACAGTACATGTTAAACTTGCTGTGAAATGGCACGTCCTTTTTTTCTTCTCTCCTAAAAGGGCTTTTGTTTCTTTCTCTGCCAATTTAATTGTTACCTGCGTTTAATTGTTAACTTTTACCTGGGCTTTTGTATTGTGCTTGCAGCAAAAATAGAATTATTCATTATAATTTTATTGCTTTTTTATACTGTTTAAATTCCACATAATTTAATATTAATTGTCATGGGTTGGGGGGGTGGGGCGCGGTTCTACACATTCTACAGTGATGCACTGGAGGAGTAGAAACAATCTTGTAAAGTACTTTAGACTCTTAGTGGTGGGGAAGAAAAGCCAAATTACGTATTGTAAAGTTGGAGAAGCTGCAGGAAGAGAAAACAAAAGAGAGAGAGACTGTATGTTTAATGTAAATTAGTTACATTTCTACTATTCAGATATGTATAACTTTTGTAAAATCTGCCTAGTGCTGGGAATGCCCTTGGTATGGACGTTGTTTCAGCGTTAGGATCAGTGAGTCAGCATTGAGTCAGGGGTGGGAACAACTTTGGGATGGATATCTGGGAACACCCTTTGGCAGGATGCCATGTAAGAATTGCCCTCTTTTCTTGCTTTAACCAAAGTGTTTCACAATGTCATTTTTTTTAAAAAAGAAGCAACAGCTTCAGTGAATTGAATAGAGGTATTAACGGTTAGTGTGAAAGTGGGGGAAGGAATAAGCAGTTGTAACCCATGGCTGAAAGGAGAACTGAGATCCCAGGTGAAATGGAGTTATGACTGGCTGCACGGTGCCTGCCTTATGTTTTTAGAATTTGGTAGAATCCAACGGGTTTGAATACTATGAATTATTTTGAGTGGGTGGTATAATCTCCAGCGTGTGCACATCCAATCAGGCTGCCATGATTTTATGCCAGCTGGACTTGTAATAGAAAAAACAGCTGGGTCATTT